CAAATAACTGTCAGGTACACCTTATTACACTTTATCGTTTTTCAGTACAGTTTAGTGTAAAGATTATTGGTTGTATTTTATGAATATGAATATTCCTTTGTACATATATAATTATAACACCTTATGTTCTTTTCGAATGTTATTGTTATGTATTTATTTGTATATATATTATACACATATGTGTATAATCGATTCTAAAAAAAACAATGTTTATCGGCGGTTCTGGTAATTCTCTCCGTTATACTCTATGATTTTTAAGTTCACGATTCTTTTCGATTTCGATTTCTTTTAGCACTATCATAGCACTTATAATTTACAAATGTATATTTCATTAAATACAAACAAGCACTTAATATTTTTTTTAATTGAATTTCTCAATTCATTCTTCTTCAGGCTTTCCTAGCTTTCAATATAGGTGGTCGGTGTATACAGTTGGACTAATTAAGCAAAGAGAAATCTGGTTAGATTAAGCAAATCTGTGAATCATCACGTGGATATATTGCAAGCTTCACAACCGTTGATGTATTGGACGCCGTACTCAAATACGAAGGAATGAAATACCCAGACGGTTTACACGAGATTGGATTATCATGCCAGGCGGGTTTGGATCAGCATTTTGATAAAAATTGGAAGGGGAATTCATTAGCAGAGATTCTTTCATCTATTCCATGGGCAAATGAACAGCCTGATTTAGGAAATTCTGTACATTGTGGAACTAGGATCGAAGCAAGCACTGGTAAAATGTATGATATTCCTGCTAATACTATAATCCCAGTGTAAAATCGAGAACATTCATTTGTGAATATGGTAAGTGTTATGAGTTTACAATATACATATATTAATATAATATAACATAATATTACATTGCTTTTCTACAAATTATTTAAATGGTCGTTATAAGAAATCATGTTTAAAATAATTACAAACTGCAACATTTATAAAATAGGCCTATTATTGAGACAATTTTTCCTAAAGATGACATTATGTGATTTAGTATATTTTTACCTCTTTAGTCTTCAGTACATTATTAATTTCATTGCTTACCATGAGCTCCCACAATATTACTGATGTTTTATTAATTTTATTGTTGCAAATAATATTCAATATATAAATATAAAAACACAGATACTTAAATAAAGTAATAAAACTTTAAGTGATCAAATTCTTTTAGTTACTTCTTAATAATATATATTTTTTGGCAATTTTATTAAATGTATTATAACTGCGTACAGTAAGTTTATGTTCGTTTATAAGGAAAAAACATAAACTAGAAGTGAAAATGTACCTGATTCATTCCTAGAATTTCTGTATTTCCAATCTGAAGAATTGTGAAGTCACTTTGGATGCTTCGTACATGAGATGTGCGTTGCGATGTAAGCAACAGACCGAGTGCTAGAGAGTTCATCTCAATGATGCTGGATGTCAGATTGAAAAGCAGATAAAGGATGAATCTAAAGCACATTATGCGAAACTAATTTACTCAAAATAGTACTAAATAGGAAAAGAAAAAGCTTGTGTATAACATAGAATTCATATTTCTACCTTATTTGATGTTCAGACCTTTTGTCTGTTAAAAGCTTGTCTTAGACGATTGATTCACAGTGTATTTGTAGTAAATCAAAATGTTAGTCTTGGTTAAACAGTATGTTAGTGTCATAAATATACGAGTCTCTGTTAAGTTTTGAGATGGTATTAGTAAAATATTTTTTAAAGTTATACAATAGAAGTAAGGATATGCATCATCGGCTTGCCTGTAAATTGAATAAAATAATAAATAAATTTATATATAAGATAATTTTAGCATCGATAAACAATGCAAATATAAAATTCAAGCTAATGCATAAAAAATGAATATAAATGATACGAAAATATGTTTTAAAAATATACATATTAATAGTCTAGTAAAAAAAAAATCTGTTTTTGCCTCTAATATTCAAAATAACTGCAATGATACTATGCTAAGCATCTCTGATGTTGTTCGAAATCTTGGAGTCATTTATGACAAGCATTTGGATTTCTCTCATTACATATCGTCTATCTGCATATACAGATGACGTCACTATCCCAAAATAACCAAGTTAAAAAAGTTGGATTATATAGAAACCACCAAATTATATCAATCAATACTGCCGATTTTTAAATTGGATTTTATTTTTCTTTCACCCACTGAGGACATTTCCCCATTCATTCCAGCACCTTGGATTCACTTCACTTTAGTCTGCATTACTCAAACTATTTCACCACCTATATGTCAACGTCATCATCACCGTTACCAGGCATCATCATATTATACAGTAGGCCTATTTATATTGAGGACTATTTAATAATTCATAGCATTGCATCCTGTAAGTACATAGCACATGTCTTATTTAATTGCATATTGCTTATTTATTACAATATTGCACGTCATGTAAATAATGTGTGCAGTCAGACCAAAACCACGCACTGTTATTTATTGTATTATAATGTATTCATGTTCCTTGCACATTATTTATTCATGAACGAATAAGCAATTAAATTCATATAGGCCTAGTTCTGATAGAAATTAAATTTTGAACAATTTATCATTCTCGCAATAGACTTGTTTTGTCTCTATTTTCCGATTGTGGGGCTGAGTCAGTCAATTTACAGCAGGATGAGGACGGGTGAGATGCTATGAATTGCCAACTGCTATTTTCGAGCATCCAGAGGTGCCATATTTCCAAAGCTCTATCCCCATGCTAGTTTCAAATATTGTGACTGAATTTAAAGGGGGAGGGATAGCGGCTATACATGTTGTCAGCTTCTATTTCCGGGCATTCAAAGGTTGTTCACTAATCATGGTGGGGGCTGGGGTGGCGACTGAACTAACTTTAAAATCCTGTATCAGTTGTTAGGGGTAGCAGGACAGCTTAAAAACCAAAATTCCGTAAGCGAAAACCACGCACTCTACCACCACCATCCCTTCCCCCGGCCAGCTCTATCTATAATGGCCGGGAAATCTTGCAAAATTGCTTTCGACGGCCTACGTGAACGGTCCGAAATGTCTGAGTAGCTGCATTGGCGGATCTGAAGTGGGGGGGGGGGGGGGGAGGGGGTCCTGGGGGGTCAGGGGATCCTGACCACCCTCTAAACCCTTGAGCTGTAAATTCTAGACCAGTGAACTGAAATTTGTGTTGTTACAATGGGAAAATTAAAAGTGGAGATTCATTGAATCGTTTTCAAAGAGTGGGAAAAGCTTAACAATAAAAAGTCCCCGACCCCCCTTTATTTTTCGGGTTCATCGATTCATGGAAAAGGAATACGTATGCAACTACTCATTTTTTTTTCTGTATGTATACTGGTGCACACACTGGTCTATTTACTGAAATAATAATAATAATAATAATAATAATAATAATAATAATAATAATAATAATAATAATAATAATAATAATCTTTATTTGAAACTTCACTTTTAAAACAGTGGCACACGATAACGGTGCGTTCACGTGAGAATAACATACAACATAGAATTTAAAATAAAATAACAAACGGTAACAAAAAAAATGTCAAATACTCTACTGAATTAAAACACTGCGTAGGAAGCGACTTGAATTGAATTGAATATGAATGGAAAAGTTTACCTACCGTTTTAAAGAGGGAATAAAACCTTTAAAAGAAACTTCAGAAGTCGGAAAAGCTTATTTCCCGCCATGTAGGAATCAAAATTTTCCCAGGGAAGAAGCCCAGGCCCCCCTTTTATATTTTGGGTGGGAGGGGGATTTTTGGAAACATTCTGACTCCCTCCTAAATTTGAACTCAGATCCGCCCTGCCTCAGTAGAATAGTTAATGAAACGGAAAAGGAGGTCAGGTTTGTGCTGACGTCCAATATTAAGCTTTGTTTCTACTTCAGTAATTACCTTCGCCTCTCTGAAAGGGGGGGGGGGCGATTACCCCTGACTACCGTCGCCTCTCCGAAGGTATTGTCTGTGGTGTGTGTACTTCCGAAAAAAACTCAAAAACTACTTGACCGATTTATTTTTGATTTTCACACATGACAATGTTACATGTATCCGGGTCCGCTTCAAATTTGGTGCTTATCGGAAGTAAGATGCATTTTTGGAATGTTATTCATACACTTTCCGGCCGCAACAGCCGACAGAGCCAACTCTAGCGGATCGTTTGGCATTGTTTTGCTAGGCCGAGCGGGTTGGGTGAGTGAAATTGTGGCTGAGGCATATTGGAATCAGACCCAGCCACCAAAGACATGTTTAACGAACCTCCTATGCTTTCATATTGACATGATCCAGCTTGAAGGACTAGTTATTTAAGTCTAGCACAACATCAAGTAGATAATGTAGGTATGACAAATGTAATAAAAGAGATGTAAGACATGTAAACATGTTCAATGTACGGAACGTATCATAGGACCATCGAGTAATTATTCTATTCAAGAGAAATTCACATGTATCTCCAGTAATGTCATAATTATGTCAGGTCTTCGTATAGCTTAACACTTTAATGTAATATCGGTATCAAACAATGTACCGAAATTCATTTGTATTTTTCGAAGTACCTTAAAATCTGATGGACTCATAAGTCTTTTAGATATTAATTCATAATGTTATGATGTGTTGGATAGGATAATTATGATGTATTATGCCTTTGTATGTGTTCTCTTTTGTATGTGTTCTCTTCTTGTGAAAATATTCAAGAAGTATGGCTATAATTCACAATCTATCATTATTAGATACTCAGAAAGAAGGAAAGTGCTTAGAATGATAACCACCAGATTCGTAATGGTTATGTAGTTGTATAAGATGCTACTCCGTATATTTACGCTCGAATGAATATTCGTTTACATGAAACCTCTGCTTAATGTACTGTAACACTCACAGAAAACCTGGCTGGAGATTATTCTGAAAATTCGTATTGTTCTCGGGAAGAAACAAAACAGTGAAATGCAGTTAGATATTTTCAATTAGCTTTGGTGCTCGTTCGTGATAATATGTACAGGCAAGTGAAAATGATGTTCTGCCGATCTATGCTCATCATTGTAATCGCTGCTGCCAATCTTAGTCAGACTACACGTAAGTGAGAAATATTTTTTATTAAATATCTATACTAATCAAAACAAAGTAGGTTATAGTGCTTATACAAATGGCTAATGTATTTAGTTTTTCGTTTGATAATCTTCACAGAATAATTAAGTTTTACGAATTATGTTTGCCACATCCATAACCTTGCGGAAAAAAAAAATCTCGCAAGTGATTCGAGTGGAGAGCACCTACCTCAGGTAGGGCAAACATCATTCGTATAATTTCTCCTAGTGAGAAAAACGAAATGCTGTAGAAATGCTATGTAGTAACCGTTGCTGGGGATCGGATTCATCAGAAAGCTTGAAACGCAATATCGGTGGTGTAGTGGTTAGGACAGCTAGTTATCTGGAGCTTGATTCATTTTCCACCTGAATCCATTTCGAGATTTTTCTTTGGAAGTATTTAGAAACTTACTGAACATTAATAGGATAACACGTCAGGTAGGCCTAACATCGTTCGTAGGTCTATTATTTCTCCTGACGCAAAAATCAAGATCGGAATAGTCAAATTTTCTCTCCCAAGGTTTTCATTGACTTTTCGTTTCTGGAAATATTGTATATTTCGTTCAATACGTGATTGCATATATTTTTTGTTCGAAATCTCTTTAGACATAGTCCAATTATATACAAACCTTAGTCAACTTCTGATGGCAAATACTTTCAATGTTAGGTTCTTTCTATATAGGCCTCTTATTATCGGTTCTCGTCGACGTTGTTTACAACATAAATGAGGCATACATATTTAAGATGAAAAAACACAGAATATACCATATATAACATTAACAGGCATAGGCTTAACTTAAATGTAAAAATCTAAATTTCAGATTTGTTAGTGTTAGGTTGGATTATAAGAAATGGACTTTGCGTCAGGAAAATATCATAGGAGTGATGTTTGGATTGGATTTATTCGGTGTAAACACCAAGGATAGCCCACGAAAGTCCAGAAGAAGATGACTAATTTCCAGTGGGGTCCTTCTGATGGTGATTGGACAGTACACCGGGAGACAATCCCCTACTCTTTTCCGAAGAGTGTACTGTGTTCTTTAACGTGCACATGGGCCATAAATGCACACGGGACCAACGGCTTAAACGTCTCATCCGAAAGACGGTGCGATATTGTAACTTGTATTTCAGTCCTCTAGCTGAAGCACAAGGAGAGGCAGCGATGGGAATTGAACCGGGGACCTAGAGGTCTCCACAGTTCAGCGCACACACAGTGGCTACCACCAGATTAGCCGACTGAGCTAAGCTGCTCTCTCAGCCCAGGGGTGGCGCCAGGATTTGTCCGACGGGGAAGCCGAGGTCCCCGACAAGTGGGGGGGGGGGTGCGGTTCCCCCGACGAGGGGTCAGATTTCCCCGACGAAAGCAAAGTGGGCGTGGTCGAGCTTCGATTAAAAGGTTTCGAAAATGGTCCTGGTGGCGTAGCCCCCGAAAATTTTGACAATTTAGAGGTTTCAAATGCTGACTTAATCGGCATTAGAGTCTACTAATATGTAAAAAGTAAATATAATTTTTTCTCCCTGACGAATTGTGCTTTTTCTCTCCAACCAGGGGTGGGGGGCAGCTCTCCACTGGCGAAACCCCTGGTTTTGCCCTACCTGACGTCGTATTATTGTACCGAATACTCAGTACATCCCCAAATAACGCAAATTTATATCTTTATAGCACTTGCAATACCCGCTGCTACTAGGGGATCGGATTCATCACAAATCACCATGCGCAAGCTCGGTGGTCTAGTGGTTTAGACATCAGGCTAGATACCTGGAGGTCGTGGGTTCGATTTCCACCCGAATCACTTGCGAATTTTGTCACTAGTAGGCCTATTTAGGGATGTACTGAGTATATTCGGTACGATAATACGTCAGGTAGGGCAAAACACCACTCCTATGATATTTTCCTGACGCAAAGTCATATCTTTATAGCATTTTCAGTACACGCTGCTACTAGGGGATCGGATTCATCACTAGTCACCAAGCGCAAGCTCGGCGGTCTAGTGGTTAAGACATCAGGCTAGATACTTCGAGGTCATTGATTCGATTCCGCCCGAATCACTTGCAAATTTTTTCGCTAGTATTTGGGGATGTACTGAGTATTTCGGTTCGATAATACGTCAGTATACGGTAGGGCAAAACATCACTCCTACGTGTTAGTCTTAACAAATATTCAACAAGTAATGTGGAGGCAGCACTCTGCTCGCGAAAGCTCGTGTCAAAAAAAATAACAGATTGAAAGTTATTCTCCGAGTGCTGCCTCTTCATTACTTGTTGAATATTTAAAATCATTAATATTATTTTTTTTAATAAATATAAATATACTATATACAAATAAAACCGACATCAAAAATACCGATATTTAATTGCACAAAATTAAAATTTTTAAAAAAGCTTTAAAAGTTTTATCAAAAACAATAAGACATGTACAAAATTTTAAAACAGCTCCCATACAATTTAGGGATTTCAAAAGCTTATCGAATTTGGAGTCTACTAATATGTAGAAAATACATATACATTTTTGTCTCCCCGACGAATTGTGGTTTTTCTCCCCGACGTGGGGAGGGGTTAATCTCGCTGGCGTGGGGCGATTTTGTTTCCTGCACGTTTGAGGCAGAAACGATTGGTGGCGCTATAACTTCAACAATACAGAGCCAATGAGAGATTTTCTCATTCGCCTAGATGCGTTCAGAAAAATATTTAAGCTAAATAAGAAAAAAAAAATATTTTTTCCCACCTTTTCTGACGATCTTTAAAGGTTGTTCGCTAAACAATATTAGAAAATGGTTCTTAATTTCAAATCTTTGTACAGCCTGTATAAGTACGAATGACAATGAAAATAAAGGTGATGTTTAATAATCTTAAAAATGATTTTCTGTTTCTATTGCATACCGGTACTATTATATAATTATTATAACTTTATTTTGGAAACGACGCTTTTAAAACAGTGGACACGCTCTTGCAGTGTGTTTATAAAAGTAACATACTGTACAGCCATAATACAATATTAAAATAGAGACGAGACTTT